ATTACTTTGCAACGCTTTGAATCTTTGAAAATCCGACTAAAATTTGACTTTTTACCTTTAATTTTAGTAGCAAAGCCCTCATTAACACAAGTTAAAATCAAAATTAATATTAGACACTGAAAACAAATATTTAATATATTTACATAAACCTTAATTAATATAGTTACAAAACATACCAGAGCATTTGCGATTTAAACATTTTTAGTACATGCCAATAAAATTTCAAAATAACAAAATCACATACTGTTCAAATCGATATGATATGATCTGATCTTCTTCAAAGGTATTTGACTTAGTAAGGCATAAATGGGCATAATAAAACATTAAAACATTTACTTAAACATTTTAGTAAAAACATTAAATACGGAAAACAAGATACATTTCATATAAATAACATATACTGTTATGCATTGTTCAATTCATAGTAACTTGTTTAAATAACCCAACGCATATCACTGATAACTCAAGGTATGTGAGTACTTTGAGGTTGTGCACTGTAATTGTAGTCGAAACTGCCGCGTAGAATTTGCACCAAAATGCCACGTTGAATATGCACCGAAGTGTCACATAGATTTGTCCCGATGGATCGCGTAGAATTTTCCTGAAGGACCACATAGAATTATCCCGAAGGACTGCGTAGAACCCTCGACTCTTGGCATGCCAATTATACCTCTAATTCTCATAGCACCTACTTTGGGCTTTAACCATATAAACATTTCACTTAACATTATTCAAATGATCATTTATTCACATAGAACACATATACTCATAGTAACGAAATCAAAACAGTGCTTATGAAATACCATTTAGGTAAAACCATAAAAATTAACGTAAATAACTATTCAAAATTCACTTTAAGTTAAAATCATTGGAAGTTAACTCATCACAAGTCTTCTTCCCTTGTATTAATGCATTAAAGTAATATGCACTCACATTTGCCTCACTTAAGCCCTACGCAAAACCCTTTTCACTTTCACTCAATCTCTTTATTACGTCAATTCGTTCGGTACTTACTTTCGATTGAAATCTACACATTAACATGACCAAAATGAATAACGGAGCTCATATAATTATTAACCAACCATCTTTTACATAAACTAAATAAAACACCTAATTCACAATTTCAAGCTAAATAATATTGGTACTCTATACTCAGTACCGATACTTCTCTTCTATGGTACCGATACCTACCTCAGTATCGATACCCAATTAGCATTCTAGAATTTCCTCTTCAATTACAGTATCGGTACCCTACTATTGGTATAAATACCCCCAATATCGATACTACCCCTTCAGTATCGATTATGTTCATCCGATTCATACAGTATTGATATTGTTCTTCCAGTATCGATACCCTTGCCCATAATTTCATTTATTTCATTTCAAATTTGACCTAAAAATCACCTAAATCTCATACTTATAACTTCACTCATGCCCTTAAACTTAATAACACTTATCACAACCAACTAATATCAATGAAATCCCCTTTAACATCCAAAATTTTCACTAGAACACTTAAAACTAAAAACCATACCCATTTTTCAAACATGTTCTCAATCTTTTCTAATACCTCAAACACCTTATTTAGACCTTTGAAAAGTTATATATATCTTTAAAATCCAAATACTAATCAATTTTCATCAACTCCCTTAAAAACCCATTTTACCAAATTATCATTAACTCATCAATTCCATAGCTTCTAATCATATTTAAGCTTTCTTAAGCTTCTATACCACCCAAAAATCAAAACCAAATAAAAAATGAAAGAAAAATCAATTTCAAAATCACTGACCTTAGCAATGGAAGTTCACTATAGAAATGAAGAAGAAAAGAGGAAGAAAACTTATAGGTTTTTCTTTTCATTTTCCCCATTTTCCTCACATGTTTATTAAAAATGAATTTTAAATTCATTTCATTCCAAAAGACCATTTTTCCCTTCCATCATTCAATCTTTGATAATATATCCTAAACAAAATTTTTAAATCAATTATTGAACATTTCAATTTATCCAAATCAACCCGCTAAATTTTGAATTCTTACACTTTAGTCACTGACCCGATGTTTGGGATATTACAATTTCGTGTTACAGAAATGCCACATCCTCTTCAAAGTATTGAAGCTAACTCTTTCAGAGTCAATCTGCAAGAAATATGGTGTGATTGTGGTTTTTTAGGCACTCAAATATCAATGCTCTCATGTCATAGCAGCTTGCTCGCATTCTCATTTGGACTACAAAAGTTATGTTGATCCCATATATCAACTTTCACAAGTATTCAAGATATATGAATTTGAGTTTCCCCCATAGGTAACAAAAAAGACCCAAATGAGATTCAGTCTTGGCTTACAATTGTACCAGATCCGTTGCTATTGAGAGACTCCGGTCATCCAAAATCTACTCGAATTCATTGTGATATGGATATTCGGGAGAGCTCAGAGAACATAAAAGATGTGGGCATTGCAGAAACCTAGACAACGATAGAAAAAATTGTGCAGCTCTTTTATCATCATTTAACTGTTAACCCATACTTATGTAATTGTATTTTCTATGTTTGTGCTTTTCTAATATTTTAGTATTGTATGTGCTTTTCTACTATTTTTGTGTATGTGTTTTTCTAATATTTCAATGTAATCTTATTTTCTAACATTTCAATGTATGTGTTTGTTTCTAATATTTCATGTAATTGTATTTTCTAATATTTTCAATGTATGTGTATTTTCTAAATTTTTTCCATTTAGCTCTTAGTTCATGTGATTAATATTTTCATTTTAATCTAACCTAAAACCTTAAACCACTTTAACCTAAAACCTTAAACCACTTTAACCTAAAAAAACTCTAAACCCCTTTCATCTAAAACACCCTAAACCACTTTAACATATAAAACCTTAAACCACTATAACCTAAAAACATTAAAAATTATCTTAAATCATTATAAATAAGAATAGAAGCCCTTAATCCTATAAATTCTCAAAACCTTAAAAAACCAAACACCTAAAAACCACTAATCTTAAACCCTAAACCAAGTGTAAACCATAAACCTTGAAATGTATAAAACCTCTTTGAACCAAGATAAAAATGAGTGCCCCCAAACACACCTTTAGAAGAAGCATCCCTACGACGCGCTTTCCACCGTGGCGTCACATCAGTCGACTCCCCTAAAAGGCACGCCCCCTGAAACGCATATTCCCTCCACATTAACAAATCCAGTGAAGGCACACCCCCGGTAATGTGCCATCGTTCCACACTATCAGAAAATGTGTTAGATCGGGAAATAATGAGGAATAGGTGTTAGATTGGGGATATTTTATTTTTTTAAGGTGACTTTTAAGTAAAGTTACCGATATTTTCACTATTTTCCACATCATATTTAGTAAATTCCTCGTGCTACTAATGGTCATCACATCCAACTACCATGAAAAAGATTAATAAATGGGGTAATTATGTTATGTGACGAATAAGTTAATGTTCATTTATGATAATTTTTAATATAAAATATTAAATTGTTCAATTTTAAAAAGTTATATAATTTTAATTAGAACTTAAAATATTATATTACTACAGTTTTTAATCAAATTGTTATATGTCCACTTAAAAAGTTAGAGAAAATGTCTCGATGATAACTCGTTACGTGAGTTTCATAAAATATATTAAAAAAAATTAAACTCGTCACAGGCATGACAAGTTTCATATAATTTTATTCTATATCATATGGTGAGTTCTTGTTTTAAATATATTTTATGAAACTCGTCACGTGGGCGTGACAAGTTCCACGAACACTATAGCAAATGACCTTGATCCCAAAATAAATTTAAAGATGTCTTATTTTACAAATTAATTATTTCACATGCATTATTATCCTAATTTTGCCTTTAGTTTCTTAGAATTTTATCTTAAAATTATAAATAAAATAAAATAAAATCATCGATTTCATCAATATTAACCTATTTTTAATTATTATAACACTCAACTTATTTTCTTAAAAAAATTTATGATACTTATTTTAAATTTTCTAATAATATTATTTCTTTCATTTAATCTAATACATAAAAAGGGAAAAACATTTTTAGGACCTAATTATACAGCTAAACTTAGCTATAAAGACTTGATTCTTTTACCAACATTTTAAAGAATTATTTTAATAAATATGTAAAGCTTAAAAGTTACAAGCATGTGAGTCTACATGTGATTATTCAATCATTTATCTGACTATTTCAATCCGAAATCAAATTAACATGAAGAAGTGCATGGCTCAAGAAATATAATAATTTACTGAATGAACAAAAAGCATTAACTTCCCCATAACTACATAACCTCACATTGTTCTTGTACATATCTCACTGTCTCTGTAACAATAAAAAGCTTGTAAAAGAATATACTTTGGATGCCTTTTATGTAATTTAGTACCATGTCGGCGTTTGGATTTTTCTAATGTTTATTTTTTCATTTTTATTGATGATAATGACGGTTAAACTAACGGCTGTAATCTGATAAAAGAATCAAATCCGACGGCTCTAATAGCCAGATGGTGAAGCTTATACGTTACTATATATAAGCTGTAAAAGAAGAGCAATTATGGCTTCCTAGGGAAATTGGGGTTCAGTGATTTCCCATATATTATATTATCATCATATCATTTAGAAGGGTTAAAGATTAGGGTACCCTGCCCTTTGGTAGGGCTATAAGTCATTGCCATCGTACGTATGTGTTATCTTCCATGGCTTTTAGTGAATGTGGGGCTTGATTTTATTTTCTTTCACCATGGCTTGCATCAGTAAAACATAGCAAAGATCAGTGCTTAGTAGAGGTTTCTCTCTGTTACTAAAGATCTCTTTTTGCTCACTTCACGTATTGGTTGCCAGCATTTGTCTTTAAAGATATCTGCCATGTCCACAAACCTCTTTCCTATGAAGGAAAAAGTAAGGGAAATAGCTGCATTGTTAGATTAGCTATTTGCAGGAAATATACACCAAAGAAAGCAATCTTCATTTATTGAAATGGTTGGAGATTTCAATTATTTTCAAGTCTAAAAGACCAAAACTGTAGCAAAAAGACAAGCTTGTTACTTTGTCTCATCCTCTGACATACTCATCTTCAAATTTTTTTCCCAATGGTTAATCTGCCATCTTATTTTTAGTTAAACCTCAACTTGAAACCCAAATCGAACACAGGCGGTGAGCCCAGTTGCAGCTTAGTTTTGCTCTTGTTTTTTCATTATCTGATGTGATTCTCTGCAACTTTTCTGAGACACTTTTCTGCCACACAGCCAAAACCTAGTCTTTTCTTAAGATATAACTAAAAACAACTTATTTTTTTGTTAAAACGAGTGCATTTGTTGTCTAATCAAGACCTAGTCACCTTTGGATTTAGAAATGGGGTGTGCTACTTCAAAGAAAGAGGTTGAAGATGGTGTCGTGTCACTGTGTAAAGATAGAAAACGCCTCCTGAAATTAGCTGTGGAGCGTAGGTATGCTCTTGCAGATGCTCAATGTAAGTATAATCAGTCTCTCTATGCGATTGCAGCTACCATAAGGCTGTTTGTAGCAAGGCATTCCTCTCCTTCCTCTCCTTTCCTCATCACTTTCCCAGCTACTTCCACAGATGAGGCTGCTGAGACCCCTATCGCAAATTCCATGTTTTTTAAGCAAAAACCCACCGAGCCCACACATGAGACCATTCCCTGTCAATCCTCTCTTTCAACAGTTTTTCTGAAGAGAGGGGGTCAAGATCAAGGACAAGATGAAGGTCCAAGAACTGAAGAAGGCAACGAGGGTTGTCTTGAGTCCTCAGAACAAGAGGAAGAAGATGGGATCATTTGTGAGCATTTTTATGATGAAGAGGCTCCACCAGCAATGCCATCGCAAGAAAAGGAGTTTGCCTGGGATTTCTTCAACCCTTTTGATGAGGCGAGGACAGGGGTAGTGAGCAGCTTCAGTGACAATTCTCAGGAGGAATTTAGAGCGGTGAGAGAGAAAGAGGGAATCCCTGACCTGGAAGAAGAAGGTGAGAGAAAGGTTGAGAATGCAACAAATGCTGATGGTGGCGATGGGGAGAGTAAGAATAAGAACAAGCATACAGATTTGAGTAATGGGGATGACCATGATGCAAATATGAGCCAAGGTGAAAAGAATAGTTTCAGAATTATTAAGACACCTACTGCTACAAATGAGAGGGAGTTGTTAGAAGCTTTGAAGGATGTTGAGGACCATTTTCTTAGAGCTTATGAATCTGGCTTGGATGTTTGTAGAATGTTAGAGGCCAATAGAGTTCAGCTGCAATCTGGTTTGGAGGAACTTAAAGGCGGGTTTTGTTCTCTTTCTCGTTATCATTTTCTGTTTCTTGAAAATGCTTCTAATTCTCATGTGATTTTCTTAGAAAAACTTTTTTTTTTGTATCATCCTCTTGCAAATTGAGCACTGAAAGTTCCATATTCTTGTTGTTGCAAATTAGACTCAGAACACGAATTGGTAATTGGACACATAATAATAGGAAAGGTTAATTGGATGCCCAATCTATTTCTTTCATGGTTTGTGCATGTCAATTTTTGCCATACTTTGATTTGTATGATTGTTTAACATGCTGACTGGCTGCAGAGAGCTCAAATAAACTTATCCGGTCAATTACTTGGAGCCGATCTCCGCTATCACGATCTTCGTCCTGCAAAAGTCTTGTTTCGTGTAGTTCCAGAAGTTCTTCTACATGGACAGAATTAAAGACTGATATGTTTCATGATTATGGAGGAATGGAATCTGGAAGCCACTCATTGACCCTAGGAAGGTTGTATGCTTGGGAAAAGAAACTCTATGAGGAAGTGAAGGTACTATAAACACGTTTCTATCAGTGGCCCGAAAATGGGAACCGTCTCTCGTTCTTTCTCAAGCACACGTGCCTTAGTAAATGATACCTTTCATGTTTTTGAAGTGTTTGTCATACCCTCCTAACATTTTGTAATTCATATAATCAGGCAGCAGACCAGACCAGGAAAACTTACGATCAGAAATGTTCTCAGATGAGAAACCGCAATGCTAAACGAGATGGCCTCTACTCGGGTGACAAAACCAGAGCTGAAGTGAAAGACTTGCATAGCAGAATCTCGGTTGCGATACGAAGTGCCGAAACGATCTCTGGAAGGATTGAAAAACTGAGGGATGAAGAGTTGCAGCCGCAACTTATTGAGCTGCTACATGGGTATGAAAGCAAATGACATAATATTTCAGATGTGTTGTTACATTTATCATTGTGATCATCTTCATTACTTTCTCCTCCTGCAGCCTAATGAGGAACTGGAAGATAATGATGGAATTGCATGAAACCCAAAACCGAATCATGTTCGAAGTTACCTCTTTCAACTGTCCTACTTATGGAAAGTTTTGTAACGACTCTCACCGGCTTGCTACACTTCAGCTTGTGGAAGAACTTCATAATTGGCGCTCTTGCTTCGCTGCATATTTATCTGCACAGAAGGCATACATTGAAGCTCTCAGTAGGTGGCTTTCCAAGTTCATTTCCCCTGAAGTAGAATTATGCTCCAAGAAGAGGTATTCCGCCCCGGCATTAGGAGTCGATGGACCACCATTACTGGAAACTTGTCTTGAATGGTTGGCTAGCTTGGAGAAGTTGCCGAATGAAGCTGTTGTTCGTGCATTAAAAGCTTTGGAAAGGATATGCACGCACTTTGGGTTCAACAGGGTGAAGAACAAAACAGAAGAGGAAGGTTGATGGACTTGCAAAAGAACTTGAGAGGAAGGTCTTGGCATTCCAGAGAACTGAGAGCCGGGTTCTCAGTTCAAATTATCTGAGCAGGAATTAGAAGTAAATGTTCGGAGTCGGATCGAGTATTTGGCAGAACAGAAAAACCTACTGGATACATTCAGGAAAAGAATAGATGCCGAGAATTTAAGACACCGAACTGTCATGGAAGAGACGCAGCAGATAACTGTGAAAGGATTCCAAACAGGATTTTATTCAGTTTTCAAATCCCTGATTGAGTTTTCAAATGCTTCCGTAAAAATGTATGCTGACCTCGTGACACATTGCGAAACTGCCAAGGCACCGGAGAAGGAAGATGAAAGTGAACCAAACTATGTAGATGAAACGAGTTCTTATCTTTGGGGTTGAAGTGACTGAGACAGGAAAAGCCTGAAAGAGAACCCGGTTATATTATACCTTATGTTCTTTTCATTTCTCACATATGGAGTTTCATAAATAAGTCTCCCGATCAGCTTGCTCGGGAATCGTATTTGTGGAAAGCTATTGTACTTAGCTGATTGTAAGTATTAATGATCTTAGTTTGATGCTAAGTTGCATTTCAACAATTTGTTATATTCCGTACATAACAAAGCTGTTTCCTAAAGCTTGAAAACATATTGTTTGATTGATCTCTCAGATTCTTCTTATCAACATCCATACTTGCACTATTGAGTTCAGAACATCTTAAGTTGATACCTTGGGATGAAATGCTATCCAATTCGACATGAAACTTTCGGAATCCAACACCATCTACGCTCACATAACTTTGAGAATAATCCTGGTCAAATGACCCATGATGTCCTGTTCAGTTGGTCGAGGAAATGAGGAGGTGGTGATTGTTTCCAAACTTCTCAATGGGTGTTTGTTGATCAAGTTGTCGACTGAATGAAGTGTATTTTTCAGTTCTTGCCGAACCGACTCGTTGTAGGATGGTCTGTAGATGTTTTTGCCACACATCTTAGACCAAGTTCACCCATTGTCAGCATCATTTCCATGTTGCAAGGTCTGGATAAAAGAGTAGTATCTAGAATATCTTCGATGTTGCCCTTTTCTATACTCAGCCTTGCCTGCATTTTCAACAGCTTACTTTAGCATATGTTTAGTCTGAATTGTAAGCTTACTAACAACAGCAAGGCAAAGTTATAATTGATTAGGGGAAAAAACTGACCTAGTCAATGGTATGATAATTAGGGTGACTTCTAGTGGAATCCACAGCCTGCCGGGCAGCAATAAGTTGCAGAAGTATAACTCCAAAGCTACAAGCAATATGCAGGTTTAATATCTCGGTGGATTATGCTTGGCTTAATCCCATCATTCAAGTGAGCTATTCCTCTAATAGTAAAACAAAAAACAACAAATTTTTTATCTTAAAAGTTTAAACCAATGGCTATGTTCACTCTTTGCCTCCATGTCAAGTTTCTTCCACCTCCTACACTCCAAAAATAAGCAGAAATAAGTGTTTTTTCCCTTCTGGTTTTTAAAATTGATATACTCAAGTAAAGAACCATGTGGTACGTATTCGTAAACCAATTTATTTATTTATTTATTTTTGTAACTTTTGGTCCCATAGATATAGATATATATATATATATATATATATATATTCTAGGTTCATAGCACTACCTCAATTGATTCATTAATCAACAATTTGAGGCTCAATAATGTACCGGTTTCTTCGTAAACCTCTCATTTATGTTTTGGATTATTTACTTTCCATAGAAACCTAACTTCTGTTTCAAGAAACCACTAGAAACAAGGTAATTTACCTGAGCTGCTGTAAACTAAAGTATGGAGTAGAATACTTAAGGTTACTTGCCATTTCTGAATTCTTCAACTCTCTCGTATGATTCCACGTGAGCTCTCTGGTTTGCTAATGTACTTTCACCTTCAAAGGTTCCTTTATAGACATTGCCGAATGCAGCTTACCCTAACAAACATTCTGCACTGAAATTTTCGGTAGCCTTCTCTAGCTCCTCCACTTGGAAATGCCTCAACTTCAATATCTCAGCTTTCAGACTTCCTAATTGTACAAAGATTTCATGAGATAAGAAGCAAGCAATTCAATGGAAGAATGATTTTTCATTAAGAATAACGAATGGTTCTACATAATTTGACTTTTGAGGCAAAACTGATGGTATTAAAGAAAAAAAACACATGGGATCTAAGTGATTTAACCTTTACCTTTACGGCTCTATCTTCGTCTAAGCTTTCTTCTGCAAAAGAAGAACAAGAAGAAAAATCCCAGCAGCAAGGCAGCTAAAATGGCAATGATAAGAAGTACCCACATTTTCTTAGGACCACGATCATGATCAGGTGTTTGCAAGCCTTCTAGCAAAGATCTCTTGGCCACGCATGTGATAGATGAGTAAATGTCCTACCCCAAACTGCTAAATCACCTAATTTATTCCATTGGTTCATTTTCATAAAGATTTTGGTTTACTTTTCTTTTGCCATCTGAACAAATTCCTTGACTAAAGGGAGCTATGTCATCATGGACTCGCTCTCCATGTTATCATGGACAGTAATGGACTTGATCTTCTCTTGAGACGGCACATAGGCCAAATAATACATCAAAATTTTCACGTGTTGAAGAAAAGGGGGCACATAGGCCGACATGTAATCAAAATAGACGAGAAAAATCAACAAAACCCATTAGGGTCTCTGCTGTTCCTTATATCACATCTTTGTTTTCTAATTATTTGGTGCTAGATTCTAACATCAATAGCAGAGTTTGATCATATGTTGGCCTATTTGTTGCAGAACTTTCCAAAAAGTATGGGATGGTTGCTTAATATTCATGTAGCTCTCATGAACTTCGACTGCCAAATATGATGGCACAATCTTGAAATGAATCTTGCGAACCTGATCACATGGTTATACGGGAAACAAAATTGCTGTATTTGCAGCACAAATGCAAGCATTGGAAAAGTAGGTTAAAACACTTGATAATGTACATTAGTAGTATAATAATCCGCGACCAGGCAGTCTTTGTTGGGATGCCATCTGCCATTGCTGCCAATCATAAATGTATATCAATATTTTAATGCGGTGGCTGGCTGGCTGGCTGGCTTAAGTATCACAAGTTGATCAACTTTTTCGGATCTTAAAGTCATATTACTACCTGCATTATCATTCATCGTTGCATCGAGCAACCAACAAGACACTATCTCTCAATGTCGTTTCTGGTTTTAATTCGAGATTGTTGGGAATCAAATTATGGCCACTACAATTCCGAAACTAAAAAGTTCGATACTGATGATATTGTTTGATGTTGATTGTTATGCAATAATATTGTAGGGAAGATTTTAAGAGCAAATTGAAGCTTAACCTTTCTCTGTGCTTCAAGTATGTTGTAGCTAATGGTTGAGGAGGCTCTCTGCTATTCAGTGGGAGATGAGTGGTTCGACCCTGAAACATGTTCTGACCAATATCTGTACAAAGTCAGGACCCGAAAATATTAATTCCCACAGCATCGGCATTCCTCTGATGAACTTACACAGAGTATTATCTTCACTATGATTCTTAGAAAAACAATGGAGGTCTCAATCCAGGATGAAACCTATTGAGAACCATAATACCAGCATGTCAACTCGGTTTACAACAATCATTCGCAAAAAGAGTAGTTTCAGAACTGTTAATATATTCCTTTATACAGAGTTAACCAAGTAAAATGTTTGATACCATGATAAGATGAATGTGGAATCGTCAGAGAGACAGTAGGTAAGCATATATGATTAACAATTACACAAGCCCCGGCAAGTAAGAACGTATAAATAGAATATAAATAGCTTTTTCTTAATCCTACAGTTTACGAAACAGATCCCTTCTGCACAATGGACAAGAACCATGACTAAGAAGCCACTTATCTATGCAAGGCAGGTGGAACATGTGATTGCACTGCGGCAAGCTCCGAAATGTTTCTCCAAGCTGAAAGTCCTGCATAAATGATGAGGACAACTCCAAATGTCAATCAAATAAGCTTCTTATGCAACTAGTTTTATTACCACGACTGGGGTAGAATCGAAAATAGATTATGGTTGAACCTGAAGGCAAACCGAACAGGAAACTTTCTCGGATGCATCTGCATTGTCATTGTTTCTGATTGTTATCTTGGGGATTTTTTCAACCAGATCTCCAGCCAATCCTCTACCACCACTGGTGTTGAAGATGTTCTGGACCTCCTCAAAAGTTGTTCCAGCAGCTCCCATCTGATAACAGAAATTGAAATCATACGCAAATTGCCATTTGATGGAACCATCATTTTCTAGCATAAAAACTACCAACATAATGTAGAGCATATTACCTGACTTTGAACAGCGGTCAACATTGCCGGACCAATTCGTTCATGAACAAGCCTCCCACTTAGAAGGCCTGCAATGACATCAACCTGCAGAATTTGCAGGAAAACAAGTTAGACTTGCCTGTAAGGCAAGAAGGATTATACTTATAATTAGAGATCGTATCATAAACTTACCGATTTAGAACAATCAAGGTTTCTTTTTCCTATTTCCTAAAAAAAAGGTTTCTTTTTTCTAATCCCTCTTTATATTAACTTAGAAATTAGCAATGGAACCTGTAAAAACCAGGGCAATAAATAAACTGCTCACCAAGTAAAGCAAACATAAGATCCCAGATTCGTCGGATTGCCAAAGAATAAGAGAAGATTCGAAGACTTCGATCGAGAAAACAGCTCCAGATATAGCCCCAACAGCAGCCCCTCGAACGAACCCACTCTCCGTCTCTTGCCCTATCAAAGCCCCCGTCATGGTCCCCAACAATGTGCCGACTGCATACAACAATGTCAATCTCATCAGCAAAATTTTGATCATAACAGGTTACCCTAAGGTACCAAAGTATTTTTACACGTTAAATTCTAAGAACTACAAGACAAGGTAATTCCAAACTGCTTAACAATCTAAAATCTTTTAATGAAAAAAAGTATGATTCCCAAAGAAGATTTGAAGAAAAAGTATGGAGGAAAAGAAAGAAGAGAAGAGGAGAACCAACCAAATGCAAAGAAAAATGTTAAGATTGCAGAGAAAATGTTCCCAATGATGGCAGAAACAGCGAAATTGCAAAAAACTTTCACCTTTCCAATCAAATCTCCAAACGAAGAACCTGATGACAAAGAAAAACGAGGTGGGCGTCCGTAAAAATCCATTCCTTTTTCCCTTTCTTCGCTTCTGGTAAGTGTTGAATTGAAAAACAAGGTTCCGGTGGCCTACAGAATACAGGGTGTTAGAATTCGAATGATACTTCCTTCATGAAAAAGAAACGAGAGAATTCGAATGATTGATTTTTGTTGTTGTTTTCATATGGATAACGATAAATGTTTTTAACTCACATAATAATATATGTATACATATTAAAAAAATAATTAATTGCTAATATTCTAAATTTTATTAAAGGAATTAAATTATAATGATATATATATATTATTAATATGAGGTAAGTATACGATAATGTTGTTTAAATATAATTCTCAACCTCTAGCGTCGATAGTGCTCGAATCCAAATATTTAAAAATAACAACAATTCTTTTTACCACGGA